AGGTGCCAATGTACTACACGTAGCACTGGAGCGACTACTACGACAGGAAGTCACCAAGGCAAGAAAGCACCACGGCGTCACTGTGTTGATGGACATGTCCACCTTCTACGACACCATCCATCTTGCCAGATTGCAGGAGGAAGCGCTCAAGCTCGAGTACCCGCCACTCCGTTTGGAACTGGCCATGCAAGTGTACTGTGGACCCAAGGCCATCAGGCTCCTCTCCTGGCTAAGGCAGTTCTGGCGCCTGCGCTGAAAGAACAACGCCCAAAAGCCAATTTGTCCAGCTGGGTTGATGACGTCGGCTTTAATCACTGGACCATCCGCCCTGCAAGTGGCGCAGCAAGGAGTTGAGGCCTATCGAGATCTTCATCGTTGAGTGACCAACTTGGGTCTGAAAGTCAATCCCAAGAAAACGGCCTTTATAGCCACAGATCGAGACACTGAACATGCACTCAAGGGCTTACTCCAGGACCACGAACCACCGATCTCCACTGTGACGCGAGATTTGGGAGTTGATCATCAAGCGGCCCGTCGACGGAGGATCCCTGTTTTACGTCAACGGTTTCAAAAAGCCAAGCAAAGGAAGCTCAAACTGAGGACCTTGAAGATACCGGCCTTGAAAATACGGCTCCGCCTTCACAAAGGGGGCATCCAACCAGTGGCACTCTGGGGCATTGAAGCACAGGGACTTGCGCCACGCTGCATCATTCAGGTGGGCTTCTTGACAGCACCTATGATCTGCACAGCAACAAGTACATCGACCCGGGTGACCAAGTCATTTTGCACCACATCAAGGCCATTCACACTCTCTTTCACAACTGGCCAACAGACCAGATCCAGCACCTTGAGCAAGCATGGACAGAGATCTCCCACCAACTCAGCCAGCGACAACATCCATGGTATGTGGTGAAAGGTCCCATGGCAGCAGCCATTGCTTACATGAGGGAGTGGCAATGGCAAGTCCATGACATCCATAGATGGCATCGACCCAGTGGACCCTAGTTGAGGCTGAGCTCACCCTGCAAGATCCTTGGTGGAAACTCGAACGTACCTTGCTCATGGAGGCCAAGGCACAACGAACAGCAAGACTTGCCAGCAAAGAGCACCGCCAACATCTTGTTGCAGGACTAGACTGGCGCACTTACAGACAGGTGATCCGCACCATTCCAGGTGAGCGCAGACCACATTTGCGGATCTGGACACAGGCAGCCATCCACTTCAAGGAGGATGGCAAGCCCAAGATGTGCCCCATTTGCAAAGTCCCTGCGACCCACAAAGCACATTTTGTGGTTGTGCAAATGGCACCAAACCCAGCAACACAAGCCAATGCCACCAGATTGGGCTGAGCGTATCCTATGTGAAGATGAAACCCCTCTCTGGACAGCTGGCTGGATCCCGCTTGAGCCTCAAGAGAACAAACAGATGCCGCAACCCTACCAGGGACATGGAGCGTGGCAAGATCTGCAACCTCTTGCACCCCATCAACATCAAGGGTGGGCCTTCACCCTAGATGCCACACCATCGAGCTATGATCAGCGAGATCAGCTCTGGATCTTCGGCCTCTGCGTGCGCCATTTGACCCTGGGGCAATTGCAAAGACTCGGGGCCATCACAGGCGCACCAAATCCTCCTCACACCAAAGCCAGAGCGCTCATGGAAGGACTGGTTGCCTTGGCCAAGCACACCACTACGGCAGTGCGCGTCATCGTACAGCTGGTCAGTGTGTGGGAGGCATGGACACAGCCCAAACATCGAGGACCGTTCCATGACCAGCTTGAGCACCTCACAGAGCATGACTTCCACAGGGTAATGGCCCTCTATGTTTCCAGGAACACCAGGTCACCCGAAGCGCCAGGCAGTGAACCACAGCTCCGCAGACGGCAGAGAGATGCAGCCTTAGCTGCCTGGGAGAGGGCCAAACAACACCAGGACCACAAGCGCACAGAATGGCAGCGGGTTTTAGATGAAGACCACAAGCTCATCTACACCCATGCCATAAACCGCCTGGCCAAGATCTACAGTGATAAAGACCACTACATACACCAAAAGCCACCCAGGCACCAAGGCAAGCAAACAAAGCAATACAAGAAGCAGCTCATTGCTAAGTGCAGCAAACCCTGGTCGGCTCCATCTCACCGCTGGGCGCCACATAGAAGTGGACATCAATGTGGTGCATGTGGAGTACGAGTTAGGCACTGACAGTGCAAGTCATTGAGGAGCGCCTCAATGAAGAATGTCCCCAACTCAGCATTGAGGACCAAATACCGGCGCCGAGAAACCGCACCAGCCCATGCCAAAGAAATTGACCAGAACCCAGGTCATCAAACACCTCCTGCACCAACAGCAAGAGGTGAAGCCGCCACCACAGCAGCATGAGCTTGAAGAAACTGCTGGACACCTACGGTGTGTGAGGTGTGGCACCAACGTCCACAAGAGAAGCAACGAACAAGTCTTTCAGGCCTTCGTTCAAGGACAATGCCTTGATCAGCCATGGCCACACAAGTCATGCACTGTGGCAAAAGGGCAGTAAAGTCGCATGCACACAGTGTGGCACCACCCTGCATCTGGATGGCCAACAGCGGCTCATCCTCACAGCAGCTGTCAAAAAGCCCTGCAAAGGCTCAGGCAGCAACCAGCTCTACACCGCTGACGGAAATCTTTAGGAAACAGCTAGAGCAAGCATCACAGCACGGCTCACCGGATTCCTCTGGTGACAACAGTCAACTGGCACCACAGGATTCTCAGGCCTTGCAAGAACAGGTCAAGAAACCAAAACTTGACCACAGGCGGACAACTCTGTCCAGCACAGAAGAGCACCCAAGGCCTACACCACGGAGATTGACCTGGACCTACAGGAACAAGGCTCCAAGGCCGCCGCAGCTGCTTTGGCCATGAACCCCAGCCAAGTGGCAGCACAGGCGCCAAACAGTAGCTCAAGTAGAGCCACCGACACACCAAGGATGAGACTGCCAGCCAGCCAAGTCCAGACAGTGAACCTGATGACCACTCGTTCAATGTCGACTACTTCTGAGCACAGGCAGCACGGATCTGAGTCACCAGCCCTAGCAAACCGGCCAAAAAGGCCCACGAAGCAAACACTTCAGAAGAAAAAAATACATACATACATACATACATACAAATACATATGTATACATATATATATTTTCAATACATACATACACTGTAGTCACACGTTTCCGTCGTTTTCTGACAGCTTCATATTGACCCGCTCAATAATTTGTCAGGCTTTCACCAGCACACCTGGCCGTTCCAGCTGCAAGATACACCAGCAGGGAACGATCCTTACTTTAAGGCCTGAGATGGTGTTGTTCGATGCAAAACAGGACTTGTTACTTGTCGCACAAGCAAAGTAAGAACATGCAGATCATGTCGGAACATACAAGTATTGCAACATTGTTTCCTTTTTTCTCCCTTCAATAGATCCCAATGACCCCTATATAATTGTTTAGGCTGGTGACTGGCACGACACCTACCAGAATGTGCTAGACTCCAAGGCTCGTGTCCGATTCAGCACTGTGGACTTCTCAGGACCTGAGGTGGTGCTTTGGATGCATAGCACAGCCGTAGCCGCCGTAGCATGTTTTTTTGTATGTTCTGGTTTGAGTCTGAGTCTTGTTGGTTTTGTCGGTACCTCCACCAGCTGCCACAGTGAACGCACACGAAACCCATTGCAACGTGTTTGAGGTGCATTGCCACGCTCTTTCTCACTCGGACAGAGCTTCAATGATTGAGCGTCCCTAGTTTATCCTAGTTTCATTTTGTTTCACGAGTGCTCATCAAACCAATGGTTGCATGTGTTGCGTTTGAAAGACTTCCAGGATCAGGGCATGATCGGTGCCGAAATAGTCGCAGGCAACTGGGGTTGATATATATATATATATGTCTAAGCATCAAATGATTCCGATTGTTGCAGGTCATGGGCGCGAAGCTTGCGCTTGCGATCTGTTGGGCGAGGCCAGGATCAGTGCCTTCAGGATCTCCTCAATACGGGTTTGCCAAGGAGAAAACCATCGCCCTCTCTGCAGATGAGCGCAGTGGCTTGTCTGTGAATTGGCTGAGACTCGCAAGTATTCTTTACATGATCCACAGAACAAAGAATCAGTATCAAACTATCCACAATCGATCTCCCCAATGACAAATGCTGGATCCAAGGCCAGAGCCTCTTGATGGACAAAAGCTTAGTCGTTACTAGGTCACGTGGACATGGTTCTTCCGAAAGGGCCGCACATAGACTCTTTGGCTGCCGAGGTAACCGGCATCCTTTTTGTTGCAATGCTGCTCCTAGTAGTTGCTATTGCAAGACAGGCAAGGTCGGAGTGAGTGAGACATCCACTTGCTTCCTCTGAAAGAGGAAGTTCTCACATTCTTCAGGTACTTGGCATCAGCCGGTCCTACTTTGCAGAGGGCTATGCAACCTTGGCGGATGGACCTGACGCTGCTTGAGCCACAGACAGCCTCTTTCAGCAGGCGTGGAAACATGCAAGTTTCATCAAAGATGCTGCTGACAGCTTGTTCAGGCACCAATTCAAGAAAGACACCTTCAAGGGTGCGTTCGTGCGGTGGACAGGCCTGCCACAGCCCACTTGCCTTTGGAGCCAACATGTTCTTTTTGCGAGGGGTGCAGATCGTGCGAGTTGTGCGTACCAAGGCCCTGAGGCACTTTCCTTGGGACCAACGGCCATGGCACTGGCAATTGCACAGTTTTTCGCGCCAATTTTCGCTGCGCCTAATGGACGCGTCGCCACAGCATTGGACAGTGACAGAGGGGATGATAGGCTCTCGCTTTTGTCTATAACTTTCTGTACAGGATTGCCTGGAACATGGCCAAATTGGCTTGGGCTGGTTTCCTAATCTTCTTTTCTTTGCATGTGGTGGGCAGCCGGCAAAAACCCTTGTATATAGCTTGTGTCAGAGTATGTTGTTTTCAAAACTGATCCTTTGAAAGATCGTTCACTTAAACTTGTTGTAGTTGGAAGGCTGGAGCCTTATTCACAGTTCAGAAGTCGGAGGCTGGTGGCATTCCACGTAGCAGATTCCAAATGTACTTGTCAGCGTATGACAGATCATACATATTTGATTTTCACTTTTGTTTGCGGGAGGTCACGGATGTTTTTCTTTTGCTATTTCAACGCATGTTGTGATGCCAAGATTTGGTTTGCAGCCTTGAGGGGGAGTCACCTCATGTTGGCCACTGCGCTCCCGGCCTTGAGTGGCGCATGAAAACAGGCCAATTTGTTTCACCACATGAGTCGAATTAAACAAATGCTGAATTTTGATTGATTAATTCATTTTTTGTTTGTTTCACCAATCATTTGGACGTGACTTTCATTGTCTTCGCAGGCGACCTTCATGTCCGTGGTAAGGGCCTGTTTTCCAAGTATTGGGGGCGGCCCCGTAGCACGCAAGAGGCATCTTTGTGGCGGTTGTCATTCTTATTCCATTTTCAGCTTCACCTGCAAGAGGGCACTTTTTTGTCAGGCTTTCGATGAGGCTCTGACCGATTCACCTACAGAGTTTGATGACAAGTGTCACGCCTTGCTTGCCAAACGGACAGGACGGCTTTTTCTGCAAGACCGGCCATCGTGCGAAGGGCGTTGAGGCAATACTATTTGGGAAGGTCTTAAAACATCTTAAAACAAAGAGAGGGAGCAAGAAGGCGTTTGGGTCATCTTACTAGGGCCCCTTTAAATAGGGGCCTTCAAAAGCACAAGGTGGCATGAGTCTGTTAGGCGGATGCGATCCTTCCACTTCCAGCTCTTAGTGATCGACTGCTTGATGAGGTTTGTGCGTCGATTTGTTTTGTCATTACAGGTTTGATATGGTTTGATATTGTTCCAACAGAAGCAGAACAGCAGAACCAAACAGAGTTAGAGTTGTCAGGGTCACTTGGCCAGGAAGCCAATCAACATCTCACTAAGACGCCAAATGCAGACTTTTCGTCCGCCTGACCTGTTACATTGTGGCGCAGTTTGGATCAGTGCTCACAGCCACTGTGTGCAGGGGTCCCTTCATGCGGGCCGATTGGAAGAACAGAAAAGTACGAATCAGGACCTACCAATACTGGAAGGTGCACATTCAGATGCCTGCAGACATTGCACAGATCCTTTCCAAAGTTGAGGCTAATTGGGGTGGGGTGCTTGTCACCAAAAAGCACAATCCAGGAAAAGAGGCCGGTCCTCCGCTCAAGTAATTGTCCTTATATCACATTTATATAAATCACATTTATATAATTTATATACTGTAGATTCATCCAACCAACAATCCAGATCTTTCAGATTCATTCATGACTTTGTTTGGAGGTCTACAAAGGAAAATACAAGTGACCGGCACTGGTTGCTCGTTGCGCAGATCATTCGCTTCCCAGCGAAAAGTCGGTATTCCATGCAGTTGTGAAGTTCGTTCGTTGAATGTTAAGGATTGATTTGGATTAATTCTGCAGCATTTGGTTCAATTAAGTTGCTGTTTTTTTCTTCCAATCAGTCTTCCTTTTGTACTCTCCACCTTGGTCGAAACTTGGACCTTGCAAGCGAAAAAGATTGCCATGACCTCAGACGAAACAGGGGAATGACAAGACTGGACCGGACATAGAAATTTGCTTCCACACAGTTGCCGAGGCGCTTGCCTTGAGATGGTCATGCTTGTCCAACTGATCACACTCACAACTCCGGATTCTTAGAATCACAGTTGCTCCGTTGCTGCAATTGACCACTCTCACAACTTTGAATTGTTCAGCCACGCAATTCTCACATTGCACAGAATGTACAACGCCATTACTGTATCACTTCCGCATAGCCATGGTATTGCCACAAGAAGTTCTTTGGAGGTGTTGGTTGATTCGTCTTCAAAGTTTCTTTCGGGGAGCATCCTCTGGCACTGCCTGCCCCCAGCCAGGACAGCCGGGTATGAAAGCTGATGTCAGGGTCTCAATCTGATGCAACGATATCAGTGCTCTCCCGCGTCAAGTCTTGAGACCCAAGTGGCCAAAGCAACTCAACGAGTTTGTCACAGTGTAGCAGCCTGTAGCACTGTATGTTCAGAAAACTGCAAAGGGCCTTTTGATGTGAAGCCAGGCACAGCGGGCACGGGCCCAAGGCCAAGCCAGACCATGGTCCTCCAGAAGGCAGGGCGTGAAGGTGTGACACCATGAGGTGCTTTCTTTTCACCGCTTGAAGGCCTTCCCAGCCATCCGAACGCGAACGGACACCAACACCAGCCAGATCCTTTGACGAAATTGAACAAAGAGAAAAACAAACGAGAAGGCAGGGCACCCTTTGAAGGGACACTATTATACAAATACATCAAACCAAGGCAAAGGGTTTGCAGAGAGACTCAGGTGACCCGACCTGGTTCTGCAGCGCTGGCTTCTCAGAGGCAGATTCCACATCCAAAGAATTTGTAAGTTGGTGTGAATGGAGCAACCCGAAGCAACCAAACTAGGGTTTCGAAAGCCTGAAAGTCCAAGGTATTGGAATAGAAGCGATGCTGTTGTATGTACTTTAGTAGGAGCTTGAATATCCTCACGTAATTTTGAGCATGTATGTGCATGTTCCGAGGTTTTGTGCACACCTGGATTTGTGTGATGCATGTCTTTTTTTTGTATTCTTGTTTGGATTCTTGTGGGAAAGCCACCAGCCTACTATGTCCAGGTGTGCACCTCAGCCTTAGGATAGTAATGTAATACTTGCAAACAACCTTCATTCAAGGCTCAACAGTTGAATTCGTTTGTAATCTTTTGGATTGTTATCCACTATTCTAAGTGTTTTGCGTTTGCACAAGTCACTGTCACAGGTTGGTGAGATTTCTTGAAGTACCGCACTTCTCTTTCACCATTGCTGCAACAAAAGCTGCTTGCATGTTCAATCACACGACCATTTTGAACCCAATTTCCCATGTAGAGGCACCGGTTTCGGGAGGGCTTGGAAAGTGTAGAGCGATATGGCATTCATGAAGAGCTCGATTCACTTCCAATGAGCCAGCTAGAGGAATGATGAGCAATGTGCGTTTGCATTTAAAGCAATTTGCTGAATGCCAGTTTGAAGGTTTGCAAGTGAAGCAGCTCTAATGCATCTCACGGGCATATACGAACACGCTTATAGGTTAGGTTCAGCAGAAGCTATGAACTTCTCAATTTCTTAGCTTGATGCTTTGACCAAGGCCCTGGACTAGCAGTCCTGACCCGTGCTGATCTCGGGATCAAAATCCACACGCATCTCAAAGTGAGCCATGACTTAAAAGCCTCTACGAGACAAAAGAGAAGAAGAAGAAGAAGAAGAAGTTAAGAATAACAATAAGTTAAGAAGAAGACACATAAGTTAAGAAGAAGAGAAGAAGTGCTGGGCAATGTGCTCTGCAGGTCCACTCCCCGACTGGGTTCTCCGTTGCTGTGGTCGTCTCAGTTGGCCACGTTTCTGCCTAGGGACTGAAAGCCGGACCCACTTTTCTGGCATTTTTGGACTCCACGACGCTTGGTCATGTCATCACATCATGGTGTTGGGTGGGGGGTGGGGGGGTGGGGTGAGGGTCAAATTCCCCGTAGTGGAGTGTAATGCACGGTATCCCTGGATTCAACTCACAGTCCAACAAGGTTCACAAGAGCGAGTGCGCGAAGGCGATCGAGCGGCTGTTTTCGCATGCGCATACCTTGAGCCAAATGCTATGGCTATGGCATGTCAATGCATTGCGTAAGAGCATATCTCAAGATACTGCAACCAAGTTGAAGCAATAGCGTAAACGGGGGCCCCAAAAAAGAAAGCATGGGGGTGTTGTAATTTCGCTTGTGTTTTCACATACGTCTCATGAGCATGAAGGCTCAAGACGTAGCCACGGTGTGTGCTTTAGGTTTGTTGTTTGGGTTGTCGGGTGTTCCTTGTCCTCCTTGTTGTTTGTATTTTCTTCCTTTGTGGTGTACGTAGATGGTTTAACTCGTGATTGTTCTGACCCTTTAGTTTCTTTTGTTCACGAAACAGTTTTGGGTTCAGATCGTGGCTGGGTAAACTCGGAGCAGGTGTTAGAAACTCGTCCTTTCGTTGTTCACACTTTCGTGCAATGTGTGGTTGAGATTTTCTTTTTCGAAAAGACAGAAGCTAACTATCTAACTCCTTTTCTGTTGGTGACTGTTGCTGTTGAGTTGGCGTTTGTTGCGTAGTTGTAGCAGCTCCATGTCGGATGGGTGCGCCGCCGTTGATTTACTCGATGGTGGCATCGATGAAAAATACTTTCACTCGGAGCCTGACGAGGGACAGCTAGTTACACAAAAACGGGCAACTTGAGGTGTCGCGAAAAATGTTTCCCGAAAGCATTGCGAAGGGTTCTTCCGGAAAATCTCTTGAACACTGACACTTCTACACTTACACTCACACACTGACACTTCCACACTTGCGCTTGAACACTGACATTTCGACACGTACACTTGAACACTTACGCTTCCACACTTACACTTGAACATGAACATGAAGACTTGCGCGTCTATACGTATCCAAGTGTAGTGCAAGTGTGAGTATGGAAAACTTGCGCAGGAGATGTCCTAATGAAAAACATTTCCCCACTTTATAAATTCTCTCTTAAAGGCGGAGGGTGGGACGAACAGCGTCAACCGAAAATGCAACCCTCTGCGGAGATCGTGCGCGTCGTGTGCGCGAAATGCAGGCGAGAGTGCGATTTGGCCTGTTCCCGCGCAACCCTCTGCGGAGATCGTGCGTGTCGAGTGCGCGAAATGCAGGCGAGAGTGCGATTTGGCCCGTTCCCGTGCAACCCTCTGCGGAGATCGTGCGTGTCGAGTGCGCGAACTGCAGGCGATTGGTGCGGTCCGCGTGCAACCCTCGGCGGAGATCGTGCGTGTCGCGTGCGCGAAATGCAGGCGGGAGTGCGATTTGTCCGGTGCGCGCGCAACCCTCTGCGGAGATCGTGCGTGTGGAGTGCGCGAAATGCAGGCGAGAGTGCGATTTGTCACATGCCCGCGCAACCGTCTGCGGAGATCGTGCGTGTCGAGTGCGCGAAATGCAGGCGAGAGTGCGACTTGTCACATACCCGCGCAACCCTCTGCGGAGATCGTGCGTGTCGAGTGCGCGGAATGCAGGCGAGAGTGCGATTGGTTCTGCGCGCGGACAACCCTCTGCGGAGATCGCGCGGGTCGAGTGCGCGAGATGCAGGCGAGAGTGCGATGTGTTATGCGCGCGGGCAACACTCTGCGGAGATCGCGCGTGTCGAGTGCGTGAAATGCAGGCGAGAGCGCGATTTGTCCGATGCGCGCGCAACCCTCTGCGGAGATCGTGCGCGTGGAGTGTGCGAAACGCAGCCGAGAGCGCGATGTGTCCCATGTGCGTGCAACCCTCTGCGGAGATCGCGTGTGTCGAGTACGTGAAATGCAGGCGAGAGTGCGATTTATCCTGCGCGCCGGCAACCCTCTGCGGAGATCGTGCCTTTGTAGTACAACTTTAGTACGCGGAGTATCTGGCGAGCTGGAAGATGAGAACTGG